TGAATGAATATAATTTATATTATCAACATTATAACGTCACTCCGTTGAATATTATGTCAAAACTCCATTTTGGGTCAGCTATTAAGTTGATATGACGATTTCACAGTTGGCTGAGAAACCACGAGTCTTAAATAAATAATAGTGTTTATTGTTCTTACCTTGGGAAATGGCTTCGATATTCTCTACACTGGTATAAATTTTGTCTGCATCTCCACACATTTGATGAACATGACCACTAAACATTCCAGAACTTGCAAATGGAATCTCTTTTTCCATAATCAGAAATTCCGTTTTAAGTTCCTCTTCAGGAATACGAATAGCAGCTGGATTTTTCTATAGATGTCATGGCATAGTGAAAAAAAGAAAACCACAAATTGTAGTTACTGCATTGGACAATTTTTAAAAAATATAAATATTTTTGTAACTTTAATATTTTGAAAAGTTTTAATAAATTTACGCGCGACATAATCTCTCTCTCTCTCTCCCTCCCTCCCTCTCCCTCCCTCTCCCTCCCTCCCTCCCTCCCTCCCTCCAGTGAATTTCAGCCATTTCTTTGAAATTACACGTTGCCTTAACTTTTCTGTCCCAGCTAAGGTAAAACTAAGTCTTTACTTAGACGATTTACCCATCTGATAAGTCCTAAACCCTGATGATATAGCGTGCTGGTCATATGGCAGGCTCATTCTTCCAGCGCACTTTCGATGAGAAAATTTAACAGTTTTGCGTTTTAAACAGAGCTGCCAATTTTGTGAAAAATGTCCGCTCACAATATGAGCCCGCATGAGTGGGAGAAAAGTTGATACGTGACAGCATGGTACCGGTGCAGCATAGTGAAAGCCAGCTATCATTAAAATGTGCTTTATTTCAAGTTGCGCTAGATTTCATATTATTACTTACAGTACTAACGTGTACGAAAAAGTTTAATAAAATCATTATCACTGGAAAGGTAAATAAAACCCTGCTTTTATATGCACATATTAAGTAGATTTTGAAGTCATTGAATATTTTGTAATAATAAAGTTTGTTTAATAAAAAAGTGTTAGGACTTCAGCAAGTGCTTCTTTTCCTTGAGGTTCTTTTTCGTCTAATAATTTTTGTAAATCGCTTTCATTTACCCGAGGCAAATCTCGCCATGGCTTTATTTTTATTCGTTCAAACTGGCGCCATTTCATGCTGGAGTTGCGATTATTCTCTGCACAGCTGACGTCATATCTACATGCAGAAAACTATTATCTGCAAGTGTGATGTCATAATTAAGTGATATCAATGATTATCTGTAGGCAACCAATCCAAGCGGAGATTGCATAATTACTGCGTAATAAATTTAATTATTTAACATACTGTACCTGTCTTAACTTTGACATAGCATCAGAAGATATAAATTCATTTGGAGAAAATTTCAAGACATAACATAAAGTATGAAGAGGTTTTTCTCCTCTTTCCATTTCACCAAACACTGCAGTTTTCAACACTTGTAGGCTCTAGAATTAAATAATTACCTAATGAATTACAAAATAGACTAATACTATTCTCAATCACAATAGCGAGCTTAAAGGCAATTGCGGTTCTAGCCTGCGTAGCAGGCGTTTAGTGCGGGCGGGAGAAGAAAAGGCTAGATCTTCAGAGATTTCATTCGTGCCAAACTTCGCTACACATAAATAATATCGATTGAGAAGTCTTTTGGTTGTTTATTTGTTTCGAGGACTTGTATAATGTATATTTCATTAAAGAATATCTCGCCACTCCTTGACGAGTAGCTGTCAAATGCTGCCATTTTTTGGGTAGTCACGTGACCGGCCCCAGACCAGGGCTTTCTCATCTCTCCCCTCGTCCTCATTCGAAAGCCCTGGGAACGAGGTTGCGTATGCCGAGATTTACATCGAGGGTTATACATTATTCAGACAAGATCGTTTAAATAAACGCGGAGGTGGTGTTTGTGCATACATCCGAAATGACATTAAGGTCTCCAAACTCAAGGAAATTTCATCTGTTTCTGAAAACTATTTCCATCAGCTTTGGCTGAAACTTCAGAGTAACGTAATCTAGCGTAATATGCATATCCTACAGACCACGAGAGTGTTCGCTGTCCTGCCTAGAAACCAACTTGAAACCGAGTTTTGTCCAAGTCCTCCTAAACAAGCCCATTTTTATATTTGGGAGATCTGAATTGCAATGTTATGAAGGACAGTCCAGAGAATACAGCACTAGGAAACTTCATGCTCGAGATGAACTTGAACCAATTAATCACAACACCAACTAGAACAACAGACACTAGTGAATCGTTAATTGACGTGATAATAACTTCGACTTCCCATCTTGTTAACGAAAAGTGGTGTCATGGATACTATTATAAGCGATCATTTACCGGTGTACGCAGTCCTTAATATGAAGCCACCCAAGCCACCACCGCAATATATCCTAACGCGAAGCTCCGATCTCTACGACGGCGAAAGGTTCACCGCCCACCTTGCATCAAGATCGGAAGAGCTTATTTCCATCTTTTCGGATTCAAATGTCAACTCCAAACTCGACAAATTCAACAACGTCCTTCTTACAAATTTAGCCAAATTTCATGTCCATGCTCCAGTCAGAATAATTAAGATCCAAAACCGCTCTTGTCCCTTCATCACCACAGATATAAAAAAAGATTGGAGAGCATTTAAAAACGCCCAAAGATCAGTCAAATCCACTTTAAAAGCTGCTGAAAAACACGTTCGAACTGAAGTTAACCTCCATAAAGATAATCCTAGATCGTTGTGGAAAGTGATTAATGGGTGCATTCCATCTAAAGATAAAAGAATTTTAACTTATCACAAAAACACATTAGAGGTGGCCCATGATTTCAACCAGTGTTTTCACTCTGTGGGGAAAAGAGCTGCCGAAACAGCTAAAACGTTAGCCCTACAAAATAACCTAAATATATCAACTGTCGGAGCCTCAGAATAGGAGATCTGAACTCTCCTATACGGAATTGTTCATGTTCACTCCCATCACATGCACAGAGGTGCAACGCATAATAACAACAATGCCGTCGAACAAATTTCCAGGACCAGACAAAATTAGCATGCGGCTAATTAAGGATTGTCTTCCGGTCATACTCGGCCCATTGACAGATATTATTAATAGCTCATTCATCACCTCGACTTTCCGTGAGTCCTGGAAAATAGCAGAAATTATACCACTCTTAAAGGAAGGCGATCATGAAGTTGCTTCAAATAACCGCCCACTTTCAAAGTACTTTAAAAAATCTGCAAAAAAGTTGCTCTCAAACAATTTAGCGGTTTTCTTAATCGCACTGGCCGCCTTTCATCCGAACAAAGTGGAAACAAAAAGTATCATTCAACCGAAACGCTCAGTATATTAGTCAATGATCTTTTGCTAAAATCGATGGACAACAAAAAGCTTACTACTCTAGTCCTTTTGGATCTCTCAAAAGCATTTGACAGCGTGGACCAATCAATCATGTTAAAGAAATTAAGCAATATTGGGGTTTCAGGTGAAGCCCTTAGCTGGTTTGAAAGCTACATTTCAGATAGAAAGCAGTTCGTTCGCATTGGCTCCTCGGTATCCGAAGTTCTATCAATCACCCACGGAGTGCCTCAGGGAGCAATATTGTCACCGCTATTGTTCTGCATCTATATAAATGACCTCTCAAGTGTACCACAGTCATCCGAGTTGGAATCATTCGTCGACGATTCTAAGATCTTCATGTCATTGAAAGATATCGCTAGTGCAAAAACAAAGATAGAAGAGGACCTCAACTTGGTTGCAACTTGGTTTTTCGAAAATAAACTGTTGATAAACCCCGAGAAGACAAAGTTACTCTTGATAGGAACTCGTCAACTGCTCGGTAAGCTCCTTGAGGAGATGACAATTACATTTCTTGGTGAAGAGATTACCCCAACTACAAATGCCAAAGACCTGGGATTAACCCTAGACAGTCATCTGACATACGACTACCATATCAAAAATGTCGTATCATCTTGTATGGCCAAGCTGTGCCAGATAAACAGAGTAAAGGATAGCTTTCACAGTGACACTCCTCGCTTAATTATCAATGCCTTAGTAATGAGCAAACTTTATTATTGCTCTACAGTATGGTCAGTAGTAATAGACCCCACTCTGGAGTACAAAGGGATGCCGCCAATGACGTCACTTTGTTCAGCTAACAATCTGGCGGATTTTATAATGAGCATGCAAAATCTATGACGCCAGGTAGCGCGACCAATTAACGCGGGCAGGCCTGGGCCAATAACAACAGCAATAACTCAAAGACTATTTGAAGAATCAAAAAACTGTTTAAAACTCTTATATGCGGTTTTTTGTACGTTTTCTGATGATGCATGTCATTTTTATTGTAATCGATACAAAATTTCCCATTTTTTTGTTGTAATACAATTGGGCAAGTTTTTTGCTTGGGAACTTTTTTGGTAGTAATGTACCTATATGCCTTTCAAATAAACCATAAACCAAGTACTTCCCACATGGTTGCCACGAAGCGAAATAATTTTGGCCAACGGCCTAGCATGGAGTCCGACTATGAATGAAATAATTGCTAGCCAAAATTTTATAAAGCAAGAGGGTGGTAACAGTAACAGAGGATAGTGGCCCGGGACAATTGCATGTGGGCTCCCAATCTCTTTAAATGCATGCTTGGCTAAATACAGCATTGATTAACTTGTCCACCACGCTTCTAAGGAGGAAGCTCAGATATGGTCGTCAGGCATCCTCATTCCCAGTCAGGACTTCTGGTACCTTATTCCCAGTCACCCAGTGTGGACTTCTGGGAATAAGGATGGGCCTTGTGAGAATGAGGATGGATCTTTGGGTTGCCTGAAAAAGATCACAAGATCTTCAATTGCCAAACGTGAAGTTATAGAGCAAACAAAAGTATAAAGCATTAGTTCTCTATTTCTCAATTATTTGAAAGTTGTTGGATAGTATTGGGCCAACATTATTGGAGCCACTTGAATAGGTCTATTACTTAAGGTGCAACATTGTTACATTGTCATTGCTCTTTTTGGCATCCATGGATTTTAAATTTAATGTCATAGCCCTATATATCTATAATTTTTAACCTAAATTGTAAAACTTTCCATTATTAGCCAAGGATTTCTCTGAGGTTGCAAGTTTTAAATTTATTAAACTGTCAAATCAAATTTCATCCCATGCATGAGTGGCATGAAACTGAGCAACATTGCTCTAAGTTCCAATCCACAAAAGAAAACGATGCGGAGGAGCCATCTGTCTTGACTACCATATGTTTCGCCATTCATCATTTCTACAGATATGAAATGGCACTGTTGTACACATGAGTTCACTCTCATTGCTAATAAACACCCATTAATCTGACAACAACATTGAAGTGAAGGAGAATGAATATATCTAGTGCAATATGCAGACAGGGATGGATTTAATTATTTATTGAGGAGGTGCAGGGGGGTTTGGATTTGGAAAGGCAAAAACAAAAATAAAATAGAGACAGAATGAGATAGTAACATGAGTTTATAATTATCAAGCAAGACTACAACCTAGTGCTTTGCTGCTGTAGCTTCGAACCCTACCAAAACTCAATGAACCCTACCAAAACTCAATGAGCCCTCTCTTCCTTCTTTACCTGATCTGGTTGGATTCCTCACTAATGCAGTATATACAATCTTTTTGGCCATGCTACGGCTTAGGGAAGCGTTATACACATGCTCTAGGTATACACAGTCTAAAGTGGCTCTGCATGGTTGTATTTTTTCAAACAACGCAATGACATCAATGCACCCAGATATGTTTGAAGGGCCAGATTCCAGAGTAGATATGAAGACGTAATGGCTACTCCGCATTTCTCGTGAGATCAAACGCACCCGTGCGAAAACTATAAAACTGTGTGCCATCCGCGGTTCAGTTTTTTTGGACCTCATCCGCTCAAGATCTATCCACGCTTACTGTTGTTTAGTACGAGAGCAAGGCCTGATTGTAGTGATTGATAGCTATTTTCCCGCAACCATCCAGTGTCAAAGACCAGTTGGGAAAATTGCAGCTTTGTATCGGAAAGGAGACAAGGATTTAGGTCTTAAAAGCCATCACATTCCGGTTTATGAAGACTCGAGATCTGTCGGCCGAAATACCAAGTGGATGTCTGTTGTAATATCGAGGCATGCTAATGCCGCAGCACCATTACTGTGAACAGTAGTGAACATTAAGTAGTTACAATTTAGGCAGAAACTTAATATTGTTATTTTCCTATATTTTTTTTACGAAAACAAACTTCCAGACATTATGACGTAGCAGTTACAAAATGGCATACACAATAACTGCGAGGGAACTCGAAAACATCGCATGAGCGATGTAATTTGGTGGTCTCCGAGCAGTAAGCAGCGTGTTTTCCCAGTCAACGAAGTATGGATTTCACGATGCAAACGATGGACAACATTTTGAATAATTCAGGTAAGGATACTTTATTTCTTTCTGGCGATATACTTAAATGCATTTATATTTAGATCTGCTGTTTATTGTTCGATATAGAGGACCGTATCGGAAACAATATGATTTCATGAATTTATCAGCAGTTTTAATAGCCCACTGATCGTCTTTATATTTATACAAGGAGTCAAAATGTATACCTATACTTTCAGTTTATTTGTTTGTGTGGCGATGTGCCAACTGCCAAGGCGATGATTATAGTGTTCATTCGAGATGTTTATTAGCAATGTGCTTTGAAATTTGTCCACTGTTATTAATTATTTGTATGCATTATTTTTTAAAGAACGAGGCATTACTACCAGGGTTTTTCCAAAAGCAACTGCATCAACGCGTTGTAAAAATGTCGGCTTCCGCTCAGCGGATCAGTACAAATCTGCATCAATAAGCCAGTGCTCGTTTTTCGTAAATTTCCATCAATTAAACTGTCCAACGCGCAACGGTTTCCAGGACACTTAAAATGCAGTCGTAATGAGAGAGAAGGACCTTCAGTATTAAGTATCTTTAGAAGAAGGGCTTTCAGGTTTTCTTCCAGTTGGACAGCTTCGAACAAGTCACGGATTCTTCATGTCTTGCTAAAGGGAACGTACAAGGCTTCGAGGTCATTGAAGAAGCTTATTACTTGGACAGCAACACTTGCAGAGTCGGACAAAACAAGATTAAGCGTATGCGCATAACAGTGTGTCACAGCGGATTTGGACTCCCCGCGGATATGGACCCCACGGTCCATATCCACGGTCCATATCCGCTAGTGGATTTGGACCCCTACGGTACACATCCGCTAGCTGATATGTACCCCCTTCCGCGGAATTGGACCCCCTAAAATTCACAAAAAGAAGAAATTTTCGATTTAAGAATTAATTATACGAGTAGTTGTCGACTATCTATGATGAAATTATAGATAATATATGTATTCTCGAGATCAAAATAACCAGCTTTGCGTAAAAATCTAACGATATTAATAAAGTAATCCCAAAATGAGAGCATTTGCGAAAGGTTTGCACAACATTTAGTAGCTAACAATATAATAACAAATTTAAACATGCGATGTAACGGTATGTATGATAACTATTGGCATGACTCAACTATCTTGGAATTTGCTTAACGACGAAAACAAGTTATTGAGATGCTAATTTTATAAAAGTTTAGGGTTGAATGGAATGCATCACTTTGTTATGGGTATGTTAAGGCAAAAATAATTTGAAATATATTTTCATTTTCCGTTTTTATTTCATTAGTTAAGCGTCAGAGCGGATAGCAATTCCAAGGAGTAAAATACTTGTGAAGGCTTCATGCGCTTCTCGCACATTCCAAGATCATAGAAATAAACCGATGTAGCAGAAAAATTATAAATCAAAAACTTTGACGGAATTCTTTAATCTAAACATCTATGATTTGATGGAATTTTCTAATCTAAGAATCTTCGTACGGTTTTTAAAATAAATCAGATGAGATTTATGACGATTTAAAACTCTTTCAGTACAATATTCAAAATACAATACGTTGCAATGATAAAATACGCGAGGGGTCCAAATTCGCGATGGGAGTCCAAATCCGCTAGCGAATAAAGACCCCCATAGGTCCATATTCGCTAGCGGATATGGACTCCCCGGTCCATATTCGCTAGCGGATTTGGACCGGGGGGTCCATTTTGAGGGGGGTCCAAATCTGCTGGGACACCTGAAGCTCTTTTGCAAGACAAAAGGTGCTCGGAGCATTTGCCATTACGATTAACGATCCTTACGCAAATACTAAGCTGCTCGTGGCGGCAGTTGTTATATCGTAGGTTGACAGGTAATTCAGCAACTCTAGAAAATTTCCTTTATTTGCTTCTGGGTCATCAATTAGGGGGACTCTTGATGCCGTCTGAAAGCAAGTCCCTGCTTTCCCAAATGTACAACAGTGTCGACAACGCGTTTCATAATACGGCGGTGTGCCACAACTTCTCTCTTCGGACGCAAAATTTCGGTCTTTTTTGTTGCTCCAAGCATGAATCGATTGATCGTCCTTGCAAAACGACAACTTGAGAAATCTTGGCATTTATATGACTTTCGGACTTTTCGTGCTTTGTGATATTACTGTAGCTGCTTCTTCCAGTTCGAGTACCCAGCATTCGTAAAAGCATTTCCTTGGTTGTGGCGCGTGTTTTCGCCTCTTAAACATTCATCTGAAAATAGGAGACATGGGAGACATAATAGATAATCCTTACTTAGCGAGTATGAAAGCCATTTGCGCCTAGTTTGATCTTCGTGAAAGAATACTGCCTGCGAGTAGTACCGGTTACGTTCTCCAATTTTCTTGTTTCTCTCAGATAAAATGGATTCGGGTGGCTGACATGGTTCATTTTTACAAAGCTTTTCTTTATCCCGAACTTCATGCCAACAAGCAACGCGGGATCATTGGTTTTATTCCCTCCATCAATTACAAATGCTGGATTTCTCCGGAGCATGCACTGTTCAATGATGATTGTGTCTTCTTCGCCCCGATTCAGTATTGATGTATTCAAAGCTTCGTTATACCCGATGTCTGGTTTCAAAGTCAGTAATTCTATCGTGAAATCTGCTGTCATTAAATTCTTTGATGATTCCACCATTGGCAGACAAATCAGGATCAAACTCAGATGCAGTTGCTACACCAGACACTGCAGATTCTTGCAAGTTTAATTTAAAAAAAACTACACAGATTTCTGATATCATGATTCCTGATGGCTGATAGCCTGATATTAATTATAAAACAACTTCATTCATATTTTATAACTCGATCATCTTGTTTTGTTACGAACATAATTACAAGAAGCTTATTGCGGAAATTTAGTTTCCTAAATGTATTTATTTAAAGAATTTACAGAGAATATACGGTAAGTATACCAACCGATATAATTATCTGTCTTAAGACACAGCTAAGCACTGAGGCAACAGTCCAGCAGTCCTTGCCTCCTTGGCATAAAAAGGGCTAGACGATAGTCTCACTGGTACATAAAAACGTTCTTCTTGAGTTTTGAATACAATAACTTTACCACATGTTTCTATTTCAGCAAGCCGTCCTTATATAGTGTTTCGTCTAAAGCTATTTTAGATCGTTATATAATGTCTATAATCAGAAATTACTTGTTATGCTATTTATAGCTGAGCAAGCTTATGCAAGTGTGAAGCTTATGCAAGCGTGACAGAGCACTATCAGTCTAATGTAACATATCAAATATCAAAAGTCTGGAATGTTCTGACGTGTTGGGTCTCAATGTCACAATTTTAATAATCACAAAATAGATCAACTTTAATAATCATAAAATAGATCATACTAACCCAGGCCCTTCTTGGCAATTTTAGTGCCCCACTGGCTTTTCGGCACCTATCTTGAAACCATCGCTGGGGGGGGGGGCATGGCCCCCCCCCCCCCCCGCCACTGAGCCTGGAAAGTTTGTAACATGCAGCCGTAATCTTGTGTGTGCAGTTTTGATGTTCCCAATGTATTTACTATTAAATTTTAGTAATCTCGGACACACAATTTCTAAATTTTCCAGTCTGGGTAATCCACGCAAATATTGGTCTTCTTCAATATATATCCGTGCCCAAAATTCCAAAAATATCGTTGATTTTTCTTCTCCGAGCCATTGGCGAAGATTCCAGTCTGGAATGGCTACGTATACGAAGCCGATAGATTTTCTCACTATTTTATTTTCGATACTACCTATTTACCTACAGTATACAAACTATTAATTAATTAATACCTTTGAGAAATCAATCAATGTCGTGGTTTTGGCTCCATTAGGCATTGTAAAGTCAATCATAACTATATCCTTTTCAGGATCAGCCATAAGATATTGCTGAGTATATTGTCCACTCCTTGTTTTTACATTAACAACAAGTTCAGCATACGATAGCTGGATATTTGCAACTATTATAGAGAAGCAAAACATATTGACCAAGAATTTTTCCTCCATTTTGGAAACAATCTTCTCGGGAATCTTCGGAGAACTTCGGAAAATGCTCTCACAAACAATTTCCATAATTCCTTTGCAATACTTCTAAAATTCCTTAGTTTTCCATAAAACCAAATTAACAATTTGACCGCTCTGGTTCTGACCCAGGTTCTCACCGGTCTGGCCGTGTTATTGGAAAGCGTCCTAATAAGTACCCATTAACCAAAGCAATAGATAACATTATAGATATCCTTTCGGTGTAGCTGCCACTGCTGTCCCCCCGCGTCTTGAAATGTCAAGTGTCGCGAGTGTCGAGGGTTAAATGTCCAGGGTAAAATGTCGAGGGTAAAAAGGCCATTTATTATATGGCATGCATGACTTCCGGTGAAATGGCGGACTGTGATTGGCTGAGAAGCACTTCCAGCGGTCATTATTTATTTATTTTCCCGTAATGACCGGCGGCCATTACGTAAAAACAAATGCACGCAAAACAAAACAGCAAAACTAATTGAAAATTTGAAAATTATAATGTAATTTGTTATTAATAACATATCTGCGAATAGTTTTAATTAAGTGGAAACGAAGGAATACATTGGCAATTACACTGGCCTGTAGGCCAAGTGTCTTAAATCCCCC